GATTTTTTTCAATGAATTAAATGGACTAAGAAGCTTGGCAGAAATAAGTGGACTAATAGGGAAAATAATAAATTCATTTTATGTTTATGATTTTTGTGTTAAGTTCAATTTTTATTTTTTTTTAAATGCTTATTTCTAATTACAAACCAAAACGGCATATCTATTTTTTAATGTTTATTTTTAATTGTAATTAATGAAGTGATTTTTTGATATTTTTATTCAAAGGCACAAGAGCTTGATTGGGAGAGAGGTTCAACTGCTGAACTGCTGAGAGTCAAACTGGTGGTGGGGTAGAAATGTAATAATAAGAAAAAATGAAAAAAAATGAAATAATGCCAAAGAATCCGTGAACCCCGCTCAAAATGGCTATAGTGACAACAGACCCACCTAAACCATTGGGTTATTTCTAAGTATTGCTGAGTTTCATTTAAAGCAATGTTCTTGGGAAGCTTGTATCTGTTTTTATTATTTACAGACTTTAATTAACATTGGTGACCTTTTTTGCAAAAACATATTATTCACTTTCCTTAGCATTCTCCTAGAAAAAAAAAACATGTTCTGACATAACAATGTGTCTTATAACTGAGCAATGAGAGATATTCAAGGCAAAATTTAAATTCTTTTCCAGTGCAGGGCCTGAATCTCTAACTGTTAACAAGTAATAATGTGTAATAGAAGACGAATAGCAGCTAATATAGGATAGTTAAATAACATATATTAATGACTTATTTATTAAAACATTAATAAGTTGGCCTGAGAGTAATAAATGTAGCTTAATGTTACAGAAATGATGCTTATTACAGACCTTCCCAAAATCTTGTATGTTCAAATTAATTACAAATATATTTTCCATTTACAAAAACCCTACTGCGGACTGGTTTTCAACGTTCCCTATAATGACATATAGAATGAAGAAATTACTCCTACTCTCATTAAATTATTTTTTCCATGAATTGAGTTATTTCCCAAAGATGACTTAATGGGATTTTGTGAGGATGATACTCAAGCTATATATTATGAGATTTTTCAAAGAGAATGAGATATCTCTACTGGGCATTTAATTGCAGTTCTAGTATTGTTTATTCATTTCTATTATTTAATTGCCAAAGTCAATGATTCACATATAAACATCACTAGGTGTATGTTTCTGTGACTATATTTCCTACATAGGATTCATGGGGTGCAGTGGTTAGAATGCAGTATTGGGTACACCTGGTGATGTTTATATGTGAATCATTGACTTTGGCAGTTAAATAATAGAAATGAATTAACAATACTAGAACTGCTATTAAATGCCCAGTAGACATATCTCATTCTCTTTGAAAAGTCTCATTCCATACAACTTGAGTATCCTCATGCAATATTGCAGGCTGGCTCTGCCCACTGCCAGGAGTTCGATCCTAACTGGCTCAAGGTTGACTCAGCCTTCCATCCTTTCGAGATTAGTAAAATGGGGGCCCAGATTGTTGGAAGCAATATGCTGACTCCGTAAACCACTTAAAAAGGGCTGTAAAGCAATATGAAGCAGTATACAAATTTAAGTGCTATTACTATATGTTTTAAGTCTAAAACAGCTATGAACAAGCATTGACTTTCTGCAATTCACCCTTAAGAAAACACAACCTCAGGGCTCTGAAAGAAAAAAAAAACACCCCACTCTATAATTTTCATTACGTAGAAACAAAACTACTTAAAAAATGCTTTATATTGAGAAGATACCAATAGCAATTGCTTCCCAAGATTTGGGACAAAAGTTTTTCCTCCCATTTTTGAAAATATGGAGACTTCAACCTGGAAACATCAGCATGAAGAGCAGATACTTCCAACTAAAATGTCGCCATCTATTTACTGCATGACTGTCCCCAGGGTATGGTAAAAAAAAAAAAATCAATATGGGAGCTTCAAGTCACATAAAAAAGCTTGTGGCCACCATCTTGACTTTTCTGTAAATCCCCTGGGTTCTTTGATATTGAAAGATGCTGTATTTTTTCCCCCACCACAAGCAGAGTCAAATGATGAAAAGAATAAAAATCCCTGATCAACTTTTGCCACACATCCAAATGAATGAGTAAATTAATAAATTTGTACAGGCACTGAAATTGCATTCAAAATTCCCATCATAAAGCAACAATTATACCATAAATACATTTGAGGACATGCAGTCTGTGTAGTTCAAAATGATATTATCCTACTGCTACTAATGAAGTCCTAAGGCACAAATTTGTTAAACATATACTTTTCCATGGGGAAATAATTGGGTCAATAATATAAAATTCATTGTCCTATTATTTAATTGCACGGGAAAACCATGATTATGTGTGCTACAGTATGGCTTAATGGAAAACATTATATCCTGACCTAATCATATCAACCTTATGCTGTCTAATTAAGAATGCAAAAAACACCAGCGTTGAAAAGATTAGTTCCAGTTTTAGCTGTTTGTTGCCTATTATCACTATATGTGATAAATATAAAAATGGAAGGAAAAAGCATTTGTGACTTCGAAAATAATTTCAACACTGCGAAAGTAACTCTTTTCCTATTGAATAAATAAAAAAAATTTAAAACCCCACCTTTTAACTTTTCTGGAATGTGGTTGTCTTTTCACCAATGACAAATTGCTCATTTGAGTCATATCATATTTAAACAAAGAGCAAAACCCTGAATTCTAATTCTACTGAAAATATATCTGTGCCTGCTGTAAGTATTATTTTAATCAAAGGCAATTACCCATATTCTGAAGTATGAATTAAGAAGCAGTTTTTTAAAGGACATACTTTAACTACCCTAGGCTTAAGACTAGCTGGGGATGAAAGGTTTGTTCTCTAGTTCAGCAAGAATCTGATTTTAAGTCAAAGGTTCTTTTAAAGACCACAAGTATTGCAGAAATGGTACTATGCTGTTATAGGATAGCCAGTAATAATACAACTGGAAACTGTTTTCTCCCACCACTCTGCCAAATTCTGCATCCAGTTCTTTCCATACCTAAGAATGACTTAACTCACAAAGAATCAGAAAGGTAATGGCAAGGTTGGGAGAGGTAGAATAAGTATCTCTCTAAGTCACACTGAAAACTAATCTAAATTTATTCCTTATCATTGTTAGCAAGAAGACACAACAGATCAGTAGCAAAATGGCGAAGATCTGAGATCCACAATGATGTACAATGATGTCGGTTACAGAAATGTGTTTTATTAAGTGGTAAAATTCTGTATTCAAATTTTCCTACGAGAAAAAAATTCTTACTCCTATACTAGGGAAATACTTTTGGATTCTACAAGCTCTTGATTTCCAGTGTGGCCCGAGGACATGGAGGTTGATCAGGGTGTGCAATCTGGTCTTCAATAATCCTGAAATTAATTTATGGCATTAGTTTGGATTCCTTCAACATTTAAGAGACATTGAAGCATTGGATATGTGGGAAGAGAGTTCCATATTTGCAACTTAGGATGGTGGTTCTAACAATAGAAAAAACTGATGTTTCAGAATCCTCCAATTGTGCAAATTTTTGCAAGGACAGAGAGACATCCTGTATTTTTCAAGGAAGTTCCTGTATCTCAGGGACACAATAAAAAAGGCCTATGGATCTCCATAATAATTGACAGCACTTCCAATGTTCCAATGTTTCTTCCACTATCTGCAGATTATATAATTATTGGATACAAATATGTTAACATCTCTTATCTCCTTCCAGGGGTGAAATGCTCCCGGTTCGGACCGGATCGCCTGATCCAGTAGCGATGGTGGTGGGTGGTTCGGAGAACTGGTAGCAAAAATCCCTGTGCCCCCCCCCCCATGCCCAGCTGAGCCGCACGATCATCAGAAGCTTTTTTTTTTACTTTTAAAAGCATTTTTTCTACAACCTCTTCCAACAAAAAAAATGCTTTTAAAAGTAAAAAAAAAAAAAGCCTCTGATGATCGCACAGCTCAGCTGGGATTGTCAGAGGCTTTTCAAAGCATTTTTTTCTGCAACCTCTTGGCCGAAGAGGTGGTAAAAAAATGCTTTTGAAAGTAAAAAAAAAACAGTCTCTGATTATCGCGCTGCTCAGCTGGGCATCAGTGGGGGGGGGCAGGGATTTTTGCTACCGGTTCTCCGAACCACCCGGTCCGAACCGGGAGCATTTCACCCTTGATTTTCTCCTTACGGAAAGCTTTCTCTGAAGTTTTTTTCTTGGCAACAGAAAACAGAAGTAGTTTGCACATGGTTTGCGTTCTTCTTACATAGCTCTTTTTTACTTCCATCTCTAATCTATGGCCTTGTTAATTCTGGGGCTGTTTTATTCTAGAATTAAAGAAGTTCTGCCTTGCTTCATTTTTTTGAGAACAACCAATGGGAATTGTGTCCCTAATCCCACAGAACCAATTTACAAGCACTCTAAAAAAAAATCCACACAGATTTTAAAATACCGTATTTTTTTTTTTTTAAATTAACTATTGTAAAAATAAATACTTTTATGAACTTTGGAGTGCTTTACCCAGTTTGTCAACAAATATGGTCTCATTCTGCTGAGGGGAGAAAAGCTACAGACATTTGTATTTTCTCCCGTGCTAGTCAATAAGATGAATGGAGCTTCCACTTCAATAAATCTTTCTTTGGATTCAGGCACTGGATTGACTGAACAATCTGTAGTTCAGTCTGGAGAGAATTAGGCCGTATATGAAGTTCCAGAGTAGTCCCCTGAATTAAATCCTGTGGTTTATACATGGTCCAAATTGTGTCATTTATTGACTAGGATATCTTTTTTAAAAAAAAGGCATGGACATTTTGCTGGAAGAAAATGCATTCGAGAAACCCTTTCACTGCTTCGAAAACATTTGTAATTTGTATGTTTAGCTTAGTTATATCAATCAGCCACTCACAGAATCACCAACTTATTGTCTTCTGGTATGAATGACATCATTCAGATTAAATCAACTATCTTGCGGCCTAACTCCATTAGCGGGAGGGGGCGAGTGAAACACTGCAGAATGAACAAGCCTATCTCAAGCACTCTACTCACCTTTCGTCTTTCACCGCCGATTCCCCTCCATTGTTCTGCTTTTTTCACAAGGTAGCTTAACTCTTGGAGAGAGATTTCCAGGTCACATGGGACAAAGAAAGAGGTCTCATCGCCTCGAATCCTCTGGAGCAAATCTAATAACCAGCTTTCATTGTATAACCTAAACAAGAAGGGAAAACCTTTTTACCTGTCTGCATATACTCCCTTTTACTTTGATAGCATTGCTCTTTCAGTTTATCTGTTTAAAGGGAAAACTTATTTGTGTGACTGTTTGTATTTCTAATAAAGAAAAATAAAGTTGCACTTTAGCTTATGGGAGAACACTGCTTGATATTTGATGAACTGAATGCCTGCATTTTTATTTAGAAGTAAATGCAGTAGGTGTATCCTGCAAGTACAAATGTTCATTTAAAAATATAGTTATGCCACAAAAATGTGTTTGGTCTTTAAAGAGCCATAGAGATTTGTATTTTGAAATAACATTTCTTCAAAGCTAAAGTAAACAAATTCATTGTTTAAAAACCACACAGTCACCACATGTTGCAGTTTATAATCAGAAAATTAAAAAGTGTTTAAAAAAAAAAAAAAGACCGGTGTTGGTATTAAGCATATCTATATCTAGTATATCTATATTTAATACAAAAAACAGTAACTGCATGAAGGAGAAACGCTATCAGACAATTATGGTGCTGATTAATAGACCTAATATAGAAGTGCTCTTGTGGCTAGTTCATAACATGGAACTTAAAATTTGCTTATGTTGTCCAACTATGATTCATAATTCCTGTGTGGATGCTTTGACTGGAAGATTCTTTCTAAAATATAGCAAATGTGAGCCGTTATTCATATTAACAATGTAACTTGATTTCCCACTTACTGTCCTACTGGATGAGAATAGGCTTTTCCAATTATATTTGCTTGGTTAATGAAACATTTTTAATTATGAAAGTTTTAATTTGGCCTGATTATTTCCAGCTTCCTGTCATTTTCTATAAGATGTTTTAAACTGTTTGACAGCTTTCTATCTTTAATTTCACACTGAGGAAATTTAAGAAAGCATGGCTTGGCGATAGTCACCCCTTCTACAGATACATCCAGAAATATGTGCCTCTTGCCACATTTTCACCCTTGTTTTCTCCCTTTATCTCGGGAGATCGATTGATTTCATAATATTTGATAGCCCTGTGCTATCCAAATAGATTTAGGATAGGATAAAAGAACAAACAGCAATGAACAATCTGAATATCATCCAGTGGTGGGTTTCAAAATATTTTATTACCGGTTCTGTGGGTGTGGCATGGTGGACGTGGCATGGCTTGGTGGGAATGGCAGGGGAAGGATACTGTAAAATCTCCATTCCCACCCCACTCCAGGAGAAGGTTACTGCAAAATCCCCATTTCCTCCCAATCAGCTGGGACTCGGGAGGCAGAGAATAGATGGGGGTGGGGCCAGTCAGAGGTGGTATTTACTGGTTCTCCAAACTACTCAAAATTTCCGCTACCGCTTCTCCAGAACTGGTCAGGATCTGCTAAAACCCACCTCTGATATCATCAATGAATAATCTAAAATATTTTAGACACCATTAAAATAATCTGATGTCTACTACAAGACTGCTCTGTTTTCCTAAATGCTAATGGAGAAAGTGGCCATCCAAGCCGCCTATGTCCCACAAAATAGAGACTTCTCGTGAGCAGGTTGGCCCATGTCTCTTACGATGAGGAGTCATCCATAATTGGCTTTCACTTTATGGCCAGACTAGAGGGCTATCTTTGACTTTGGTCATTCAGAGAATTCTTGGAGAACATCAACATAAAACTAGAGCAGGGGCCTAGTATGATCTAGACAAGAACACAAAATAATAGTAGGTGGTTTCAGTTTATACAATAAATTATGCAAATAACTATATTTGTATACTTTTTCCAAAATATAGGTTAAAAATAGTTTGCTTTTACTAGCTAGTTATGCTAAGGCATGATTGATTGCAGGGATGGGTTCTACTTACCTTTACTACTGGTAAAGGTTCGCAACAGGATCGCATGCATGCCTTGCTTCTGCACATGTACCGAAGCTACTGCGCATGTGCAGATAGCTGATGATGACATCCCCGCCCATCGCCCTGCGGTGGGCGGGGCCTCCCACTGGTTTTACTACCGGTTCTTACGAACTGGTCTGAACTGGGGGCAATCCACCACTGATTGATTGACTGATTGATGTTGAATCTAAACTGTATTTTCCAGGCCTCTTTTATTCCTTACTGTTGACCGATATATTAATTTGCAACAATAATTTGTCATAGTTGATGAATTCTTAGAAGCTAAACTTGATATAACAGCTTGTAGAGGATAGATTGTGAAACTATTGACCTTCAGAAATAGTTGATCTAAAACTCCTAAGAACTCACAATATTGGCACACCAGTTAGAGAATGCTAAATAATAATTCATTTGTACCTGAAAAGTCACAGGTTCTCTACCCCTGAATTCCATACAGAATTAATTCAGTATGACATATTCCTACTGAATATTGTATGGAGTTCTCATCTGATTCTCTTAAACTGTCAGCTTCATTCTGGCTTGTGTGAGGAACCTGTACAGCCAAGAATCAATCAGAGAATAATCAACTGTAATGGAAGTAGATCAGTTTTATAACTGGTTATTTGCCATTTCAAAAATAAGAATTGTGTAAGTCCCAATTTTATCTATAAAAATCATTTGACTGTGATATGCATAGAAGTGCAATAGATGTAAAGTTTATGCATGAAAAGATGCTTATGTGCACATTAAACCTAAATATCTGTGTACAATTAGATGTGTCTGTAGCCACTCAGAAATAAATTTATCAATAGACAGTTCAGTTCACAATAACAAAAAAGGTTATTTTTTCCAAATTCAGGTATAATTATAATTTACGCCCTGAGTTTTCCATACCGTAATTTGCTTAGAAAGCTGTAATGTAACCAGTTTTGCTATGCATCCTTTGTTTTATTATTCTGTTATGAGAATTTTGAAAGATACATTGTCCAATGAAATACTCTTTTCTTTATTGTAAAACATTATGGAAAGATTGATTCAGAAGGAAAAAAAATTATTGATGATCCTCCACCTGTTCCTTAGACAATAAAGATGTTCATAATATTCTGATTGAAAATCTGCCTTACGAATATTTTAATTTAAATTAATTTTCCTGAGTAATAAATGACAGCAGATAAAACTTATAAAACCATATGAAACTATGAAGTCGGTGATGAAGAAGACATTAATATCTACAAAAAATGAATTAATTAGACTGCCAATACTTTGAATTTGCATACTGCTTCCAGGAATGTGGATGATTTGAAATCCTTTGATAGGATGTTAGATTGCCCATGTATTCCTCAAAGCTAAGAGCAAATATGCAAAATTTGCCACCCTCAAAGGCATCTTATCATTGCCTATGGAGATTCTCAGTCATCCAGGTCACGGCTGTCCCAAAGGTACTTTTTCAACAGGCAACTGGACTTTGCCTGAGTTCAGCAGTGAAGCATAGCTTCACAACACAGTCCTTTCATCAAGGGCTTTCCAAGAAGCTCCACACCGTTTTGCACTGCTCAGGTGACCCTGAGGACATAGACAAACCTCCAAGTGGCCTCAATGACTTTCTTAAAAAAAAGCAAATGACCAGCTGTCTGCAAGGAATATAAATCTTTCCATTCCCCACCATCCAATCAGAGCTGAAGAAACTTCTTGGATCACAAGCAAAACATGTTCAAAGAGAAACAAGAAAGTCCAGTTGCTTCCTGAAAAAGCACCTTAGGGACATCTTATAATTCTTACTTTCAGTATGTGTCTATACCAATATTAAACTTCACTCTAATTTTTCACTAGATTAGAATTAAAGAGTAATAAAATTTGGCTCCTATAACTGAATAGGACATGAATAATGCATGACATTCTCCAACTTTATCTCACGTGGTCACTGGAAGAATTTGTCATTATATTTAAGGCACTAGGCTAGAAACCAGGAGACTGTGTGTGTTTTAGTTCCACCGTGGCCATGAAAGCTAGCTGGGTGGCTTTGGACCAGTCACCCTTTCTCTGTCATCCCACAATGTTAGGTTCAAACAACAGGACAGTTGGTAAATTCCTGTTGCAACCTATGGATCAGTACATCTGAAAAAAAACAGACTCCCGCGATGAGGGAAAATGCTAGAAAGGAAAAGAAGGAAGGGATCATTGTCCTTAGCTTGTAAAATTAACCAACAGAATAAAAAAGAGGGATGCTTCAGAGGTGGCATAGATTGTTCCTCTTACATTGCAATTTTAGCATATGTAAGGTCAACCTCTCTGGGAAGTAGACAAAGCTAGGATCATTCTATCAATACAGATAGTCCTTGACTTACAATAGTTCATTTAGTGACAACACTGTTACACCACCACTGAAAAAAGTGACTTATGACCATTTTTCATGCTTACAACTGTTGCAGTACCCTCATGGTCACATGATCAAAATACAGAACTGGACAACTGATTCATATTCATGACGGATGTAGTGTCCTGGGGTTGTGTGATCCCCTTTTGTAACCTTCTGACAAATATAGTCAACCGGGAAGCCAGATTCACTTCACAACTTTGCTACTAACTTAACAACTGCAATAATTCACTTAACACTTAACTTAACAACTGTGGCAAGAAAGATTGTGAAATGGGGCAAAACCCACTTAACAAATGTCTCATTTAGCAACAGAAATTTTGGGCTCAATTGTGGTCATAAATTGAGGACTACCTGTATGTTTTCTGCAGGCATCTTATGGTAGATACAGGACTTACCTGAGCCAATATAGATGCAGAGTTGCAGATGAAAATAAAAATAGGACTGCATAAAGCAACACGGTGATCAATGCTCCAGGAATTCCAGTCTGTTCCGTTCTTAGAAAAAGCCAATACAGCTTGGCACAGTCAGCAGTGGGATTATCAGCAGTGTAATGAAGTCGCTGAAATTAAATTAAAAGGATCGGAGTAAGAAAACATTAATGATGAGAAATAGTACCAAAGGTTTGCAAAGTATAGATACACCAATGCTTATTTGTGGGAGGTCCACAAATAAGGCTTCATTAAGGATTGTTGAAGACAAGGCTTCTCAATAGGCAATTTTTTCATCTTTTTACATTCCTTTGTTTTTTTTTAAAAAAATATTTACTATTTTTTAAACCGCTACAGTCCTGATGTCGTATGATGAAAACACAGTTGTGGTCAGTTATTTTAGCATCAGCTTTCTCTGATGTGTGTCTTCACTTGAAATGTCTTTTTTTGCAGCTCAAACCTCTGCACTTTATTTTAAAATAAATTCCAATCTCATTGACTTTAGTGCAATTTAATCTTAAGTACTCCCAACACTGTAATGGAAGCTAATTGTAGGGACAATTTGATTCAGTGGATAAAATGCTGTATTTTTCACTATACAACCCAGCTGTGTTTCCATCTTGGGAACACCAGGCATATTTCAGGTTCAAGACTCAGGCCATAATACAATTATTTTTCATACCTGGCCAGATTTATTCCTTTAATTAGAGCCAACTTTTCCCCTTATTCTTGCACCTTGAGGGGGACAGGGAAGTGGGGGAACGACAATTGGTAGGCTTGTCTTCACAGCTTTGTGAAACTATTGTAAAAAAAAATGTCTTTGTGTATATATGAATCTTTATATTCTGTCAATATTTGAGTGGTATTAAAATGTAAGTCAATCAGAAATCTATCTCGTGGTTAGGATGCTAGGTTGGAGGTTAGCAAGCCTGTGTTTGAGACCTAGCGTTCCTCCGTGGCTGGGTGAGCTCCTGTCATTAGCTCCAGCTCCTTGACAGGGACATGAAAGGAGCCTCCATGGGCATCCCCTGGGCAATGGTGATGTCACCGGCTAATCCTTTGAACCCAGAAATACCTTAAATGATGCCTCTGACACAAACAGGATGGGGGGGGGGTAGAAATCTATCTTTGTTACAATATATTTGTGCGGGTGGTTGTGGCTTACTTACTTGAAGGACTAGGCATGAATGCCTGAACAGCACAGCTGAGGGATAATAAAATAAGTAAACTATCCAGCTTAAGAAAACTACTTTGGGGAAGTTGACTTTCAAGAATACGAGTTGTAGCTAAAAAGAAGCTCATGTGGAGCTATGAATCCTTAAACAGGCAGCAGAATCCAAGGTTTCATGTAAAGATATGAGAAGAAATGGGGGACGTCACTTATTTACAGTAATGAGGAATTTGCAAGGGTGAAGTTTAAAGAAATGTGGTATAAGGGGGGGCTATTAAAGGATTAGGTCACTGAAGAAAACCTCCTTACAAATTAGAAACCATAACAAGTATATTTAACCCCAGAACTATGTGTTCAGATCAATCCCATGCCTAAACCATAGCAATCAGCTGTGTTTCTATTCAGAGCAGTGGATTAATATTGATGGGTTAAAAGTTTTAGAATTAAAACAGTATTCTCTTGCTTTAATTTAAACTTTATTGAATTATGCAAAGAAAATCTCAAATACAAACCTCAGTCTTATATTTTTAAAACAGGAAACAAAGTGGAATTGCTTCATAGTTTTCTTACAAACTTGTTATGTTATCAGTAACAGGCGTGTGAGGTTTATGTCACACATTGTATTTAAAGGAAAACAAAACAAAGCCCATGACCTTCTCTGCATATTAATAATGCAGAAAAAACTGACAACGTTATAGTGCTTTCACTTGAAAAAGAAAACTATCTTCATTGAATCATTACTAATTGGAACTTCGCATTATCATGAAAGGGTAAGCTCTTTACTGTCTGCATTTAACCTGGTTGTCAAACCAACCAACCCATGTTCTGAGTTTATCTAATACATTAAAACCTAAATTAATCAAACAGGAAGGTTTTACAGAGAGCTGTAAAATACAAAAATAGCAATTCAACCAAGTCTAATATCCCGAATGACCCAGTCTTTAAATAGATCTAGTTGTGTGACCATAACCAGTGTCTTGATACCTGACACTCTCTGGTGCTCCTCTGTCCTGATTCAGGTTCTCCCACCACATACAAAAAGAGATTATTCTTGAAACTTCACTCCTGGTGATATATAGTCATTCCAAGACTAAATGGGAAGCATGGATGCCTCCAGCAAAATGGAGGTTAGACAATCAGAAGTAACTATTGCACTTCTCCCAATGAAAATGCAAACCTATTGAGGCACTTTCATTCTCTATTTTTCCCTACTACTAAATCTTTCTAAATTCCCATTAGAGAGCTTGTCAAGGTAGAAGAGAATTGTCAGGTTCAATTCTCAGCCACTGATTCTTCTTAGCTTTTATTCTGATCTCATCTTTACTATAGATTCACAGATATCGGTGACATATTTTTTTAAAAAATCCAAAGTTGGCACCTAATCTTATAGATTTATTATTATCATAATCAACAAACATTGAATGTAAAAAACAATACTAGATACTCCAGGCAACAAATAAAATGTGCACTATCAAACTAGAAAGTGACAGCTATGCAAGATACCCAAGGATCAAAATCAAATGGTTGTTAATATTTTCAAAGCAGTAGGTATTTAATAAAGCATATTTAGAAATATTTCTACAATAAAAAATGAATAAACTTACAATTATTTATGATCCACTAAGATTTCAAATATTTACAGGGCAAAACTTCACATTATGCCCATATTCTTTATAAGTTTCTTTTCTAAAATACACTATTAGGTGAGCTATATCATTTCCTTTAATAATAAAAAACGAGAGTGAGTCCAGAGGGGACCCTATTTTCCAAGACTATCACTCTGTCTGCTTTCATAAGCACTAAGTCCACTTAAAATTTAAAAGATATTAGATCATTAGAATAGTTCATGTCATATTACCACAACATAATACTTTAAAATGCTTGATCTAAAATAAATTGATTGGCAAGTAATCTAAAATAGCAGCTGAAAGAATGCCAAAGGCGGGAAACAAAATTGCTAATACAAATATGGAAAACATATGTAAAGGATTCAGTTTCATTTTGAAATAGAATATGTCTCTTTGCATGGTAGTCAGTGAAATGTGTTCCTTGTGAGAATAATTTCTGATAGAGAATATTGGCAAGTTTGTCACAAGATAGCAAAATGTTTTATTCAGAACTTTTCCAATTAATTTAAGGAGAAGTGGGTTGGGACCTTCAAATCATAGATCTTTGAAACATATTCACCGATCTTTTGTTTAATATAACAAACAGTAAATATAGTATCTGTAAGGCGAAGTTGATCTCCTGACATCCACCACAATTTAAAAATGTATAGCCATCATTTGTTCAAATTAATTTGAAAAATGTCAGTGAAATGCAATAGTTTCTATTATCACCATGTGCAATTCTTAGCAGTTCAAAAATCTGGTAATAAATTTATCTTCCAGGAATTAAGATTCTTCAGCTCTGCTGTGGCTTACCAAATTCTCTGCAATAGATCCAAGGCAGTAACCGTAGAACTGAATTGAAAAGTAATACAGAAGTCTGGACAAACAAGAGAACAACGGACATCCTTTAGTAGCCTCTGTGAACCTGAATACCTTTTTGCCATCAGTTATAAGCCCGTTACAAATTCCACTTTACAAATAAAACAAATAAATAAACACCTTCCAAGATTGGTCTTCTCCTGTTCCTTCTCTTCCTTCCAAAACCATTGCAAATAATTTTGCTAGCTCAGATTTAAACATGAACACACCACAAAAATGGTGGATCTGTAGCTCACCAGATGTTGCCAATGATTAGATTTGATAGAAATCCTGTGAAAGTACGTAGACTTTATATCAATATTGACTGATTTATACTATCCTTAACTTACATTCACATAGGCCTGGTCTTTGTTGACTTATTATAATTTTGTCTTTTGCTGCATTTTATTATTTGTTTTGGGGGAGCCCAAGATATGGGGTAATATGAATTCAGAACATCTTGATAATGGCTGAAAACGTATATAACTTATGGGAAAGAAAGAAATGGGAAATACATAAGATGGATCTGATGCAGTGGTAGGTTGCCCCCGGTTTAGACCGGTTCACCAGAACTGGTAGTAAAACTGGTGGGAGGCTCTGCCCACCAACCCCGACGTCATCAGGACAGGCACGGCCCTGTTGCGAACCGGTAGTAAAGATAAGTAGAACCCACCCCTGATCTGATGGATATGCAGATGTCTGGAGAGCTACACCTAAGAACTAGTTATGTAACTTTCTTGGACCAATTCTATGATGGAGTCAACCGTTGTGGATGAGCAACACTCAGAAGACTTGATTTCAAAAGATGTTAACTTGAAGCCTGGGGATTATGATCAAGAATATATAAAGGACTCAACATGTTTCAGAAAGGATCTCCATTTGCTGCTTTGCTGATATATACCTGGTTTTCTCCTCTTTGTTCACCACTTTTTGCCTAATCATCTTCTAATTTGTCAGCCAATAAATTGACATCTGTATCCTGGTTAATAGTTTGTATTTATCTTTTGAAACAATGTTCATTTAAGAACTCATTAACCAATTTCCATAAAATATTTACTATTATTTTGTTGAATGAAATTACACCCAAACTAATGTTAAGCAGAACATTTAACTGCAATTTTGCTTCTCTGTGGTTTTATTGCTATAATTTGCTAAAAGAAAAATTTAGCTGGGAGTTTCCAGTTAGCCTAAAGAAGAGAAAAAAAAGGTGTTTTAGGAATTGATAATAGGTTTCCTTGGCTGCAGCCCTAGCAACATACTTGGCACTTATTCAGAACCTTACAAGGTTGTAGTTACAATACTCTAGACTCAAGTAATATCTGAGGCAAAGTTGTTTTATCTTGTTGCATATGCTCTAGCATGAGAGTGAAGACTTCTATAGGATCAATAAACTAGGACACAAATAAATGGAGGATTAATCTCAGCACCTCTGGAAAGGATGCTGTTTAACTACAAGTTGCCTTGTATAGTAGGTCTGCCTGTGTTTGTGGATACATCACTTTGATGTCCACCCTGGTAATCAGCATAGTCACAAGCAACATAAAAATGTTAAATGCACAATTATAAGGAGACTGGGTGAATGAGCAAGTGAATAAAACTAGGATTTAACCATTGGATTTAACAAAGTAGAATTTCCAGCATCCCTTTACTCCTAATCATTCTGATTAGACTAATAATAGCTACAGTTCAACTGTATCCAGAAAGCCACAAATGCCATTCTCTACCTGATTTTTTTTAACTTCAGGTGATGCACCTGAAATGTAATTTATGAATAAAGTGATCCAGTATCCATGTATACTCCCTTTTCTAAAAAGAGTAGAAAACATTGAACAAGCATTCCCTGTGTGCCAATATCTAAATCTCAGAATATACAGCATTTCCACACCTAAAAATTGAAAATATTGTACTAATGTATTAAGATGAAAAGACAAGGAGGAAAGCAAACACTCTGAGTATTTGTAGCTATAGTATTATGATGCAAGCAACAAAAAATCTAACATGAATAATTATAAGGAAAATGTATTCCCTAAATATTCCAGTGCATCTTTGGGTAGTAAAATATCCTCAAAATTTAGCTACACTTGCAGCTAACAATGTAAAGATAATTCTGTTTACTTGAATCACAAGCCAATCTTATCCCATGGGGCAGATATAGGATTTCCCCCAATTAACTATTATAGTAAAAGAAGTCCAACTGACAATTAAAAGCCAAGTTTGATACTTCTTTCCTCAATCTGTTTTCTTTGAACGGCTTTTATTTCAAGACATTGATTGGGTGGTACAAAAACATCCAAATAAAGAGTTAATCTGGTTCAGTTTTTATCCTAGGAAACATGGTTAGAGGGGAAAAAAACTATCAATGATGAATGGGCAGTCTTTTAGAACCTTGTTACTTACTACGTACAATCAACCATATATTGCTGGATGAAATACTAAAGATAAAATCCAGTATAATAAACACAATTAAATATGTTATCCATGCATTTTAGGCTGTGATTGGAAAGAGAGAGATTTTACAGTCCTTTGATGTTGTGTTTTATTCTTTAAAAATATTCTTTGGTTCCCTAAACTATTGCATTGCTTCTAAGACTGCTGCGATCATTTTTATCCTTCATTAAAATATCAGTTTTATATGTATTCACTTTATATTCACTGAGTATAATGAATCGCTACCAATTTATTTAATTATTTTAAGTTGGCCTGCTGTCAGCAGAGGTAGGATTTCATATTATCTGGTGACTCATTGAATAAAACAAACTTCTATATTGAAGTTATTTTAAGTGACTTACCCCCAGGAATGCATCCACCACAAACACTGCCAAAGGGTCTAGGACTGTCCAGAATCCCCAAGCCATGATCAGCTTTGACAAGTAAAAAGGGAAGGAGTCAAACAACAGTTGACAGCCCCATCTCATCAGAATCAAAAGAAGCATCACTGTGTTCAAGGTCAAAGGTCCCACCACAACCATAGCCATCTCTTCGCTGGCGTGTACCAAAGAATTCTGGTAGCACAAATCCACAGTATAAAGATAGAATTGGAATCTGAATAAAAGAGATAGGGCAAAGATTCAAGAAACAAGATGATTCCTTGTTACAGGCATACTAAATCAATTTCTTCAGTGATTTATTTTATGCATTAAACCTGCAAAGATGTTTCCACTTAGAACTGCTACTCTACTGGAATTTCATGATGATGACGATGATGATGATTTGTATTTGCATGTACGTAATTATGCATAATGGTGAATTTAAAGTTCAAAACATAAAACAGAAAATGGTGTAATACAATAAAAGTCACACCCACCAACCATCAAAAATAAAGATGCAGTATTATAAAAAGATACAGCTTTTTTTTTAAAAAAATCCTTTTGTGCTAATAAATCCCTTTGTTCATGGAAGCTCTGGCCCTATAAAATGACAGAAACAATAAAATTCCAAATGTAATGCTTTCTGAAAGACAGAACAGTTCCAGAAGTTTATAGTTTTAAAGTTATTCAAATAATTTCAAATCTCCTCTTCTGTAGTCTGAGAAGAATAGATATTAAGTGAGATGCCCATCAATGTGCATGTTGTTACTAATTTACATTTGCAATCACGAAGCATCATCACTGTGTCCTCCAGAAGTTCCCATCATGTCACAACACTGACTATACCAGTTAATGGTAGTGGTAGTGGTAGAGATATGGAAGCCAACATGGATTAAGTGAATCACTTTACCTATACTCTTAAATTGATTCAAAGGATATGTAAATTTTCTTCTTAGACTTCGTACAGTTTACAACTACAGAACCATGATCTATGCTGTCATGCCCCTGTTGGAGCCTGAATCTGTGGGGGAAGATAAGCTTGAACTGGAGCCAACAGAGATCGAGGAGGTGGCTTTGTTGGCTTCGGAGGAAAATGTGGAGGAGCAGGGCCAGTCAAGCCAGGGCCTTTCTGGATTGGGACAGCTTGTAGGGAGGGAGGAACCCTCCTTGGCTAAGAGAGGCTAAGCAGTGAACATGAGAGACAGAGCTCAGGCGATGAGCAAGGCCCACCCCCTCGTGATCCTCAAGCATGGAAAATGGAGAGAAGATCAGAACAGCACAGACTGATCCAGCCACACAGGAGGAGAGCACCCAATCCCTCTTCACAAGGCTTGGGGACTGAGACTTAAGGAGGCGCTGTGGGGAGGGGCATTTGTCAGGAACAAATGCTGAATTCATGGAGTGTTGAGTGCTGACATTTGAACTTTCCTAAATTCCTTGCATTCTTTCTGGATTTCTGGATACTTGTCTTCAGGGGCGGGTTTCAAAACTTGTCGCTACCGGTTTCGCTCATGGGCATGTGCGCGCATGCGCAGAAGCATCCAGGTGGGTGGGCAGAGCCTCCTGCTGCTACCAGTTCACCCGATCCAGGGTGAACCAGTAGCAACCCACCACTGCTTGCCTTGCTCCTCTGATTCCTAGACTCCTCGACTTGCCCTGCTGGATTTCTTGCTTTGCAGCCATGGTGCTTACAGTGTTGGGCTGGACTATTTGCAGCCAGAGGCTGCTTGAGGTGTGGATGTGAGTGTGTCATCACTTTGCTCTGGGACTTGCCAGAAATGTGGGAGCATTTGGGGAAATTTGGAGCAATAAAGAGGCAGTTTGAACTGCCAGCTTCCTGTGTTACCTCTGTGCCATGCCCTGGGTCATCACACATGCTTACTTTGTGACAGGAACTGCAAAAACGTGGAGTAAGATCCATTGACTAAAATAATGCAGATATAGACGTATAAACCAAAGGAAAGAGATTAGCAGCACACTCGACCAAAAATCCCAGGAATACCACTGTCCTCTTCCAAGTTCAAAAAAGGCATCATACGCTCTGAAGTAGAAATGCTTGGTGAATCTTGTGGACACTTTTGTGTCAACAGCAGGGTGACAGCTGTAACAAAAGAAATGATACAATAAAAGATGATGAAATGTGCATAATTTAGCATGGATTACTGCACGGTCTCATCATAAAGGTTTAGAAATGTGAAATATAAATAAATAAAATAAAGATGAACTTACATATTAATTGCTGTCTGTATACACATTTTAGATTGCTATCACTAAAGAGTAGTTACTGCATAGTCTCACCATAAAGATGAACTTGCATATTAATTGCTGTCTGGATGCAAGTTTTAGATTGCTATCACCAAAGAATAGTTTGAGGTGTCAGTTCAATTTAATTACATTTTAATTGGGATATAATGGAGAGTAAGCAGTACCCAAATTTGTCAAAAGAAGAATGTTGAGCTCCAGCCAATCTTGAAGTGTAAAGCCCTTTTCTAAGTGACACTCCTAAAAGCTGAATCAGCCTACAGATCATCTCAGCCTAAAAATTACATCTAGAATTTGGTGAGCAATATGGGAAGAAGAAAAGCAAATGAGAATTAGTTAATTACTGTAATGGTATGTGGGAATGACCTTGGCAGACTGAAGGAAGAGTTGCAGACTAGACACAGTGACAGGCAGCAGCTAAACCCACAGACGGTTTGGGATGTGTGGCAAATGTCTCAGAATGGACCTTCCCTAGTTTCTCCCAAGAGGGGAGAGCTGTAATGTACATTCAGACTATCAAGATACGGTTAATATAAGAGTACAATAAATTTAAAGTTAGTACTTCTGGGTGTGCCTCTTATCTCAGCTACCTCACAAAGCTGACAATTACATAGACACCAATGAATCAAGTTTAGCTTCCAGGGACTACATGAACAAATATTTGACATCTCAACCGATTTACAATAACTTGTAGCTCTTCTATGGACATCCCATTAATCTGGTTGATCTTGTCCACCTTACTTATTAGGTATCTTCCTACTCTTTTAATTCCTCAATTAAATTTAAATTTCCTTCTTGTATTATTTGGATCTCTCCAGCATCTGTCCATGTTAGCTATAAATATACAAATATTTTAGAAATGTAAGCAGATTGATGATGATGATGATGATGATAGATAGATAGATAGATAGATAGATAGATGAGAGAATAGATAGAGAATAGAGAATAGATAGATGATAGATGATGATAGATAGATAGATAGGATAGATAGATGAGAGAGAGAGAAAGAGAGAGCTGTATACACACATACATGTATACACACAAATGTATATACATATACATACAAACATAAATACATACTGGTATATACGTATACGTATACGTATACACATATGCATACTGACACACACACACACACAATGTCAAGGCTATCTTACTAATGGATAACAAATGGTGCTAGCATTATATATAGTAATTCAGATTTTATATGCTGACTTCAATACAAAATTGGCCAATGCTTAACCACTATATATTATATGTCCTGAAAAAGCCTCTTTCTGTAGACAACTTATATTTGCAATACAGCTCAACTAGGGAAAAAATCATTGTAGCAGTGCTTGAATTTTTGTTTCATCATCAATGAATTAAAGGTTTAATAGTTCTGTGATGTTCATTGTTACATTTTAAATCTGAAAGAGCAGAAAGGGCCCCCGAAATTGACTGTGGTGGAAGAAAAAAGGCAGAAAGAAACTTACTCTGTGCAACCATTTATGGATCAATGTGGTGTGATCTGCCCTTTAGTTAATTACAAAACTTTTTCAAAGAAAGGGAAATGGCAGACATGCAGACACAAGTTGGCATTCTGCCTACAAGAAGCTGGAAGGTCCATTCTGATTCAAAGCTAAAAAGACAGCCACTTCTTTGACCTTTGGAAACTTCTAACTCTTGTGTACATCTCTACTGATTAAAATGACTAAGGCTGTTCAGGCCACCAAGCAAAATAACAACATGCTCATATATTGCTTTTTAAATTGATAAAGAATTTTAAATGTTCCCTGAACACAAAAGTCTTGCTAATGATGTAATGGAACTATGTAAATCTCTCTTTCAAAGTTTTCAAAGCTTCCAACTTTTCTACTTTTTAAGAATTGCTTAGCTGTTGCATTGTCTTTCCAATGTAGGTAGTCCTCAATTTACAACCATAACTGACCCTGGAATTTTGGTTGTAAGTCATTACGATTGTTAAGTGAGGAGCCTATTTGATTGATCCAACCCACCATCCTCTTTCCTATTTTCCTGTGAGGTGGATTGGGCTGAGAAAGAAGTACTGGCCCAATTGGCTTGCCTTTAAGGTAATATTTTAAAATTATTTATGAATTTGCATATTATACAAAAAATGCAACCTTTCCAATAGTTGGATGCAAAGAAAATAAGGAGATGTTGTAAAAAAAAATTGGACAAACTGTCTTAATCATTTTATCACAGCCTCTTTTTATTCTAGAAGTAATGCAGTCTATACAATAGCAATATCACGCACCCGAAATAGACCCATTCAGAGCCATTTTCATCATAATGTATTATTTTAAAAAAAAAGCTGTTCCAAGAATAAGGACTTTAAACTTTAATCTGCTCTAGTAAAAATATTACATCAACTAGGAAATGGCAGAAATATTGAAATGTTTGAGAGATTTGCCTATCATTAAGTTCCTTGAAAAAGCATGTATCTGCTTTAACAATCAAAACTTAGAAGATCGGATCCTATAAATGCTCTATGAAAATGTTAATCAAGTTCTGGAGAAATGCAGAAGAGTGCCATATCATAAGAAGGGAGGTGGTTTAAAATGAAAATGTATTTTCTGTAAAACTGATAACATGAGGTTCAGCACTGACTATATCCCGAAAATCTCTAGAGTGCATTTCCTCAATTTACGAGCACATTTTCCTGTCCCTAAATGCTAGGCATGTAAACTCAGCATGGAATCTGAAACTCAAGCTGTGTTATTTCTAGCTCATATTTCATCAACTCTGTTAAAGATCCAGAAAGAGAAAGTATGCCCTCAGTTACACTACAGGGACCTGGCTTTTTAAAAATGAAATTACACAGGTATAACTCTTGAGCATTTAAAGTGGGAGACGGGTATTTGCACATGTGGACCTATAATTCAGAATATTGGCCTTGAAATATGCTTTCGGTTCAAATGAAGACTACGAGAAACAGAAAGGTCAGGAAATTTAGAAAGTTCAATTCACACACAAAAATTTAATATACCAATGGCCAATATTTTTTTTCTCAAAATAGGGAAGACATGAGAATGACCAAGATGCCTTGAACTGAAAGCTGTTTTTCTCAAAAATACTACATTTTTAAAACTGGTATTCAAAGCACATAACATGTGTTCTTATTGACAATGGTTCAGTTTTGTTTGTATGATCCATTCTGAGTATTTGAGGCAAACATTATATGCTGAAACACTGAATATTTTACTTCCATGTTAAGCTCTTCGATTAATTAAATGTAATTCAGATGTGCTTGTAAAGGACCTTATTCATAGCATAATGACTTGAGTCCATATTGTACAAAGTTATGATTTGCGTAATAATGGCTTATTGAACAATAACTCTGTAAGCGATCACATTGCACTAAGCCAAAAGTAATACTTTGAAGCGGCAAAACCTCATTTTGTACAACAGCTAAAAGCAAGCACAATTGTAATGCTAGCACAAGGTGTTCAGTAAATGCATCTCTCCTTCTTATTGTATTTCAAGAAACCTAGGATTGCTGAGAATCAAACTCTGGATTCTCACCCTTCGTAGACGGTGCAGACTTTATTTTCTAGTTCTCGGTTTGCAAGCAGCAATAGATGACCCGATGGGATGGACACTGAATTCTGTTTTATTACAAGAAATATAAAATTAAAACATCACCAAGATTGTATAACAACAAAATCACCTTGATGCTTATCCCATATTTAGACATAAAGTAAATCCATCACATCTCTTATCTTTCAGACAACAGAAACATGGTTTGTACAGCTTTCTCTGTGAGATTCTTCAAGGCATTTAAACCAAGGAAACACAAACTTAGAAAACAAAGCAGCAATACAGAATTAATAGCCCACTTTCAATTAGAAGAAACAAGAAGCAGAAAAGCAGAAAAGATTCTCTGTCTGACACTCCTATTTAGAAAGCTGCTGCCAGTCAGGACAGAAAGTTACTTGTTGAGGGTCTAAATTCTATGACATTAAGTCTTCAACACCTTAAGATGTACTAATCACAAGGGAGGAGTAGGCTGTCAACCACACTCACTTTGTGTTCCCCTTTTGTCTATTGTTCTGCCTGCTCTGTGTAAGGGATGGCTAATCTGAGGTCATTTCCTTCTGCCTTTCTTCACAGGCACATATATACAGAGCACAAACTCTTGGACTCCTATCCTGCTAGGACATAATTCCAATTATCCCTAAATTATATTTCCTGTATATAAATCTCCTTTCTGTTCCAGTTGTAGAATCTGTTTTATTGTTTATTTTTTTCATCAATTCCCACTCTCAGGAATGCTTCAACCCCTTACAATACTGGGAATTATAAAAGCAATGTCCTTACCCAAGGAAGTAACTATGTTACTTCCATGTGGATGTGGATCCATGCCCCGATGGCAGCTATCACATAAATCCAATTCAGACATTTCAATATATTTTCTGCACTACCAAGGAGTCAATGAATATCTACCCTTCAAGACTTAAGCAAGTATCTATTCTAAAACAATGCCACAAGAACAATGTAATCAGCTGGGCCATGCCTAAAGAGAGCTTAAGTAACCCATATATATTCTCTTATAAATTCTTACCAGAAGCCTATAAAATAGGCCTCTATTGTTATTATTATTGAGTTATGGCCACCCATTGAGTTGGTGATTGGTAGACAATTTGGATGCCTAAGCTCACATTTTGGTCCTTATGTGACATCAGTTGTTATGTAGAAGGTTGAAATAGTAACTTTAAAAATAGTGAAAGGCATTGTGCACTTGGAAAAGAATATTCAAAAAGGCACGTTCTTCCTCAAATCAAAACCAGGCACCTTTCCAAGTCCATTTAAATAAGCTGATGTGCTAATATTGGAGAA